CAGGATTGCTGGGTCTGGATTAGGCAGGAAAAAAGACAGAGAAGCTGGAGAGTCAAGACTGGAGATGTCAAGAAAAATATTATTAAAAAGGGTGAGAATACAAGAAGTGAACTGAGTTTCCTCTCACCACGTTGATCTCTTGATCCACACAGCTCTGCTGATACTCCAGAAGATGTGCTCCCGGGGGTCCTGCCATGACTACGAGTCCTCCTGCCACGGATCCAGGTCTTCCTGCCACGGATCCCGCTCCTGCCACGACTCGGGGCCCTCCTGCCACTACACCATCCAGAGGCAGCCTGTGCAGAAGTTCAGCTACGTGACCCCCTGTTGCCCCCCCGTGCAGCGTTATTGCCCCCCCGTGCAGAGTTATTGCCCCCCCGTGCAGCGTTATTGCCCCCCAGTCCCCTACTGCCCCCAGTACACCAAGAACATCTGCAAGATGCCACCAACGTACCCCAAGTACTGAGGAAGGATCTGATCCTGGCACCCGGATGTGCTGCCTCGTTCCTCGCCCAAGGCCTCAAGCTCACTGCTGTGCTCATGGCTTTCCAGCCTTTCTCCAGCCTTTCCAGCCTTCTCTCCAGGCAAACAGTCCTAAGAAGGGTTGGAGGTGACACCATTTTGGGGTGAAGCCTCGTGGTCTCATGAGTTTTGAGCTGTTTGTCCCCTCTCCGCTGGGAACAGTTTCCTCCTTGCTTTGCTGCTTCGCTCTCCTGCAAGACAATAAAAATGGTGTTTGAAGCCAAGCGAACAGTTCTGGGTGTTTTAGTCACCACTCTGTCACACGGGATGGATCGATGGGCCAAGGTATGAGTTTAACAAGGCCAAGTGTCAAGTCCTCCACTGGGATCACAACAACCCCCTGGGAAGCTCCAGCTGGGGGAAGAGTGGCTGGGAAGCTCCAGAAGGACCTGAGGGAGCTGGGGGGGCTCATCCTGCAGAAAAGGAGGCTCAGGGGGGACCTTCTGGCTCTGGAATTCCCTGACAGGAGGGGGGAGCCAGGGGGGTGTCGGGCTCTGCTCCCAGGGAACAAGGGACAGGAGGAGGGGGAACGGCCTCAAGCTGTGCCAGGGGAGGCTCAGGTTGGCCATGAGGAGGAATTTCCTCCTGGAAAGGGTGTTCAGGCCTTGGCAGGGGCTGCCCAGGGAGGTGGGGGAGCCCCCAGCCCTGGAGGTGCCCAGGGAAGGACTGGCTGTGGCACTGAGTGCTCTGGGCTGGGGCCAAGGTGGGGATGGGGCACAGGGGGGACTTGATGTTCTGGGAGGTCTTTTCCAAACTCAGCAATCCTGGGATTCTGTGCTTGTCTGGTGGCATCTATGTTTTCTTGTGGGTTTGGAGCTGTGCTTTAATCCCTGCTGAAAGCAGCTCAGGTAGGAGGAATGCCAAGGAAACATGAAAGCCATGGGAAATGCCTGCAGCTCCCAGCAGTGATCCCAGGAGCACCTCATGCAGAGGGCTGGGAGGGTTAATTGGAAACAAATCCTTGCACTGAGCTCAGCACACGTTGGGGGGTTTGGATTTCCAGCCGGGGGCCTGACCTGTTTTCCCTGCATGTTCCTGCTTTCCTAGGGCTGCGTTTGGAAGCAAAACAAAGCAAATCCTGCAGGGTTTGCAGCTTGCCTTGGAACACCCTCAATTAAACAATTTCTCCACTGTAAAATAAGGGAAGGTTTCCCTGGGATGACTCATCCACCCATCCCGGGCGTGGGAAACAGGCTGGAATGAGCCGAGCTCTGCAATGCCCAGTAAATGAGCAGTTGGTCTGTAAGGAATGGGAATTTCCTATTTACAGGTTATGGAGAAAATCATCATTACAGAGGAACAGGCTGAAAAGGAAAAGTGGCCAATGGGATGCCGAGAGCAATTAATTACTCACCTGCACATGGGTTGTTGTCCCTGCCAAGAGGTGGCTCATTTTCACACGACCCTTGGCAGCTGCGCTAAAAACTCACTTTCTGACTCATTCTTGCCCTCCCTGCAGGTGGGTTTTGAGGTAGGGGAGCTCTGTGTCCACAGCAGTGGGTTTGTCTTCAAGCTGAGACTTTCTCTTGCTGCCCCAGGAATCCAACTTTCTCCTCTGTGACTGACCACGGAACATTTCTGTGCCTTGGAGCGAGTCCAGAGGAGGCCACAGCGTTGGTGAAGGGACTGGAGCCCTTCCCCTATGGAGACAGGCTGGGAGAGTTGGGAATGTTCAGCCTGGAGAGGAGAGCACTCTAAACAGCCTAAAGGGACATTTCTGCTCTGTTTAATATGTGTTAAATAACGTAACAGCAGATTTCCACAACCAGGATAAACTGCGGGAATCCCCTAAGGATTAATGAGGAGGAATTTGTTTCCCAGCAAGGGTTGCTTCACTGCATCCATAATCCTCCAATCCAAACAGACAGAGGGGTGTTACTCTAATCCTGGCACCTTATGGAGCCTCCTAAATCCCTCCACTCCATGCAAAATTTAATTGGGAATTTTTTATGTCTCTAGGTTGAATCTTTTGTAAAATCAGTGATGGGTTTCCCCATGGGATCCCTGCAGATCCATCTCACAGAGCTTCAAACCCTTTTGATATTCACATCCAGCTCTAGCAGTGGGGGTTTTGGCTCTCTGGATGAAGCAATGCACCAAATCCATACAAAGTCACACATAAAACTGCCTTATTTTCACCAACATCTCTTACTTTACCTCCCTGCTCAGGATTCCCCATATTTCCAGTGTTGGATTCTCCTGGAATTTCTCTGCAGGCTCAGGAATCCCCTTGGCTGTTTGAAGAGGTGCAGGTACTCAGCTGGTGTATAAATCTCAGTCTCTAATTAGATGATAATGTGTGGCAGTGACCTGGTCTCACCTGCTCATTAGCATGAGGCTGAGCTCAGTTAAGCCCATGTTTTAGTGAGCAGGAACGCTGACCTTGGAAAGACCTTGCCTGGAGAAGTGGTGACTTCATGGCCCTCTGAACCCCTCCAAGCAAGAGCAGCTCCTCCAAGCTGCGATGCAGCCGAGTTTGAACAGAAGTTGCCCAACAGAACTGGCTGAAAACAGAGGCTTTGTGTCCCCAGAAGTCAAACAGAAGGTTCATGACAACCTATTGTGTCCTCAGCGTCCAAGATTTTAGTCCTGTTGAGCAAACACAGCCTAAATCTTCTCTCCTTCCCCTCAGCAGAACTCAGGGTGTCTCCAGAGAAGCTGTAGGACACAGGGGAGGGTGGCCAAGCAGCAGGATCAGCCCTTCTCCTCGGGGTGACCTCAGACACAAAACCTTCCATCACGTCAGTCACGGTCCCGAGTCCCCTGAATTTCCTCTGACAGCAGAGAGATAATATTTTATAAAGATGTGGTTTAATTTGAAATCCTCGAGGTGCTCAGGACATCCCATGGAGCCTTCAGGCAAAGCAGATATTAATGCTCATCATTAATGAATAATCACGAGGTGATCATTATCATCGGCACTAATGGCCGTCCACAGGTGACTGAGAGGTGAGCACAGAGTTATTCCAGAAATCACACCTTCCATTACTCCAGGGCAAAGTGGAATTTGAAAAGAATTGAATAGGAATTTTGCAGATCGAGTTGTGCCGAGCATAAACAGGATGCAAAACTTCCAGGGGGGTTTTGCATTCGGCTTTGATTTGAATACGTCAGAAAGGAGTTGGAAAAATACGGACCCCGACTTGACCCAAACTCCGGATTTCCACGGGGAATTTGCACAGTCCTGGGCACCTAAATTGTCTTGGCAATGATGTTGGCGAGGCCTTGAGCTGCCAGAGCTCAGGGGGTGTTTGGGCCTGGTGGGATTGGTGGGGCTGTGCAGGGCCAGGAGTTGGACCTTGACAATCCTTGTGGGAACGCAGGACATTCCATGAGTCCATGATTCTATTCCAAGGCCAAGTGTCATCCCCTGCATGAATGGGATGAGACAGAGGGGCAAGATCTCAAGAACTTTCTGTTCCCTATTTGTCCTTCTGATGACCAGAGACCCCACTGGGCTTCACCATTTCTCCATTCAGACACGAAACATGAGGCCATGGAATTACATTTCCTGGAATTCTATTCTAAAAATCATATCAAGGAGCAACTGATATCCAGAAGCCTCTGGAATCCACTGCACCTCAATCTTAATGAGGATTTTGATGTTAATTAAGCACTCTCCAGCTGAACAAGCCACAGAGGATCTCAATGTAGTAGCTTTACCATATGCAAAACGAGCAGAAAAAAAACCCTTTAAAGAATCCCACAAGAATTAACTTGACATTAAAAAACTGTAAAAAATTCACACAACAAATTGATAATGACACAAAATTGAGGTCTTGGTCAAAACCCACGAGGCAAAGACTAAACAGCTGAAGGCCCATTGGGTGAATAAGTGCAGGCTGAGTGCGTAAATCCCGAATTGCTGGGGGGTACCTCATGTCCGGGAGGACAAGCTCGAGCTAAATAAAAGGTCTCCAGGTCCCTTTGCTCCTCACACAACTTCACCTCTCAGCTGCTACGGTAAGTGGTACCTATTAGCAGTGGTGGTGATGGTTTGGGGTTTGGTCAATGGAAATGTGTCTTTGTGTTTGATCTTTGCAGGGTGTTGGACTGGATTGACCTTTAGAGGTCCCTTCCAACCCAAACTGTTCTATGATTCCATGATCTGCAGCTCTCCAGGAAATCCAGATCTTTTGAGCCTGCTGGTCTATTGTGTCTTGCAAAAAGTAGGGAGGGCAGAAGGGAAAATGAGCTTCTTGGGGTGGAAGTTCAGGGAGTGATCTTTAGGGAGGAGGGAATTGGATGAAATCTCTCTGGGATAGCAACAGGTGGCTCGATTTCTGTAAGGATCTTTCTTGGCAACTCAAGGAAGTTTGGCACCTCAAGGAACTCAGTAGGAAGCAGGGTGGGATGTGGGTACCACCCACAGCTTGAGGCAGCAGCACTTCTGTGCCAAAATAAACACTAGACTTGGAAAGACGGGTCATGTCTGAAAGACCGTTGTTTTTCAGGTCTTCGCTCCGTCCACCCTCAGCCACACTCCCAACAACATGTGCTCCACTGGATGTTGCTCCACAGGATGCTGCTCCGTCGTGAAGACCAAGACCGTGTGCTGCAGCCCCTGCCAGAAAACCGTGTGCTGCAGCCCCTGCCAGAAAACCGTGTGCTGCGAGAAGAGCGTGTGCTGCAGCCCCTGCCAGCAGTCCTGCTGCTGCGACCCGTGCCAGAAGACAGTGTGCTGTGACCCGTGCCAGAAGACAGTGTGCTGTGACCCGTGCCAGAAGACAGTCTGCTGTGACCCATGCCAGAAGACAGTGTGCTGTGACCCATGCCAGTCTGTGTGCTGTGACCCGTGCCAGCAGGCAGTCTGCTGTGACCCATGCCAGAAGCCCTGCTGTGACCCATGCCAGCAGTCCAGCTGCTGTGACCCGTGCCAGTCTGTGTGCTGTGACCCATGCCAGCAGTCCAGCTGCTGTGACCCGTGCCAGTCTGTGTGCTGTGACCCATGCCAGCAGTCCAGCTGCTGTGACCCGTGCCAGTCTGTGTGCTGTGACCCGTGCCAGTCTGTGTGCTGTGACCCGTGCCAGAAGACTGTCTGCTGTGACCAGTGCAAGCAGCCCGTGTGCTGCACCAAGGTGTGCCAGAAGTCCGTCTGCTGTGTGCCCCAGCCCTGCTGCTCCTCCTGCTGCTCCTACGTGGTGAAGAAGCCCATGGTGGTTTGCTACAGCCCCGTGCAGTGCTGCACCACTGTCAGGAAGTGCTGTGTCCCCTGCATCCCCATCCAGCAGTGCTGCATCAAGAAGAGCTGCTGAGCCGTCCCTGGGTGGCAAAAGCACCTCTGCCAGCTCCATGTCTGGTGTGCGACGAGAACAGGCCCCAGGAGATGAAAACCTGCTCATTTGCCTCTGGTTCTCATCATGATGGAGCCAACATGTAGGGATTTTCTTCTTATTATTTTCAAGCTTAAGCTGCTGCTTCTTTCTGTCCTTTAGTTATTGAGTATCTTCAGTTTATCACCCATAGTATAAGGCAAAGAACCATTAGATATTAGTGGGGTGTTCATTCTCTTCTTGGTGGTTGGGACTTGGGAACTCTTTGCTGGCAATGTGATCACTCTTCATTCCCTCTCTTGGCTTGTAGACAATAAAACTGAGCATTAAGCAAAATGCAACCTCTGCTCTTTTGGTTGTTCTTTCCCGGCTTTGCCCAGAATTTGTCCTCATTCTGGTGCCATCTGTGCCTTTGGCTGCAGATGAGCTCCAGTGGCACTGCAGGACATTTAGGGAAAAAAGAGCTGCCCAGTCTGCTGGCACAAATTAGGTTGTGTCTGAAGCAGAGCAGCCTGAGCCACTGCAATGGGTTGCCCAGAGCAGCTGTGGCTGCCCCATCCCTGGGAGTGTCCAAGGCCAGGTTGGACAGGGCTTGGAGCAGCCTGGGATAGTGGGAGGTGTCCCTGCCCATGGCAGGGGGTGGGACTGGGTGATCTTCAATGTCCCTTCCAACCCAAACCATTCCATGATTCTAGGATCCCTTCTTGCCCCTCCTGATCATCTGCCACAGCTCAGTGTTTACTGTAAAACTTAAAGGTTAAGGTAATTAAAACTCAAATGACACAGACTGATAGAGGCATAATCCCAGCACCTGAAAACACACCACTCCGTAAATCATAGAATCATGGAATGTCCTGAGCTGGAAGGGTCCCACAGGGACCATCCATCCAACCCCTGGCCCTGCACAGTCACTCCAACAATCCCACCCCGTCCCTCAGAGCGTTGTCCAAACCCTCCTGGAGCTCTGGCAGCCTTGGGGCTGTGCCCACTGCCCTGGGGAGCCTGGTCAGTGCCCAACCACCCTCTGGGGGAAGAACCTTTCCCTGAGATCCAACCTGACCCTGCCCTGGCACAGCTCCAGCCATTCCCTGGGTGCTGTCCCTGTCACACAGAGCAGAGGTCAGAGCTGCCCCTCGGGAGGAAGTTGTACAGCCCAGTGAGATGTACAAGAACTCCCTTATCTTGGAAAAGGTATTTCAGGAGGTACTGAGAGGAATTCACTACTCACTGAGCACAGGCACCATCTTCTTCCACTGCCATCTTCCAAAGGTAAAAGCCCAGAAACCACGGGAATTGTTCTTACCTGAGCAGAGCGTTTCCTCCGCGCCTTCCTGGACTCCGAGCCCTGGAACGAAACCCAGGGCTCAACATACAACTTAAAGGCTTCATTCCTAGAATAGCCCACACATGAGTCGGGGATACCTTTCCTACCTGGCTGGGACTTTCTTTGCTATTAAAATGCAGGAGTCAGCCCTGAATTGCAGGTCTGGGGAAGGTGCCTCGAGCACTGGCTTGATTGCTTCCTCAACCTGCGTTAGAATAATCTTCTCTACCTGTTTAACTATTCTGAAAACACTTCCCAGGTGTTCAGGAGGCTTTTACTGAGGTAAATCATGTACAATGCAGGATGCGTGCATTGTACATGCATGTACAATGCATGTACTGGCAGGAGGATATTTTATACCATAACTAGAGCAGAAGTGCCTTGGTTAAGGAAATAATGTGATTATTAATTTCATCGTGGAGTCATGGAATGGTTTGGGTTGGAAGGGACCTTAATAATCATCTCATTCCACCCCCTGCCATGGGCAGGGACACCTTCCACTAGTCCAGGTTGCTCAGAGCCCCATCCAATCTGGAAAAGCTGCAGGGTCAGATCTTGCCCCGCTCACAAAGGTCCTGCAGGTCCCAAACTCACAGAACCACCACAGAAATTCACAAAGACATCACAGAACAGGGCATGGCATGTAAAAGGGACTTCCTGGAGGTGTCATTTCTGACCCCACTGTACAGTAAATGACATTTAACAGCAGGAAAAATGCCATAAATGCTGAGAGTGTTGGGGTGGTTCAGCCTGGAGAGGAGAATGTTCCAGGGAGAATCTCAGAGCCCCTTCCAGTGCCCAAAGGGCTTCAAGAGAGCTGGAGAGGGACTTTGGGCAAGGGATGGAGGGACAGGACAAGGGGGAATGGCTTCCCACTGAGAGAAATGAGGTTTAGATTGGGTATTGGGAAGAAATTCCTCCCTGTGAGGGTGGGGAGGCCCTGGCAAAGGTTTCCCAGAGAAGCTGTGGTTGGCCCTGGATCCCTGGGAGTGTCCAAGGCCAGGTTGGACGGGGCTCTGAACAACCTGATGTAGTTGAAGCTGCCTGCCCATCCAGGAGGGTTGGATTAGATGATCTTTGTTGTTCTCTTCCACCCAAACCATTCCACATTTCTATGATTATAGAATTATTGTTTCTGTGATGATTGGGACCATCTTGGCCAATACAGCGACAAATAAAGCCCGATAAAAACGTGATGAATGACTTGTTCAGGGGAGATGGCTGAGGCTTTACACAGGCAGGACGTTGCTTCCTGCAGGCAAGTTTCTGGCTATTATGCAGTGACCTAAACAATGCTCCCCTGGGGACAATTCCAGAAGGGACACCCAACGCCACGGCCGCATCCTGGGAAGATACATCACGTCCCGGCCACCAGGGATCACCTGCCACCACATCAGCCCCACAGTCAGAGTCTGCTGGACATGATTTGCCATGAGTAGGCACTGCCTCAGCATCTTGGAACTCTCATCTTTTGTTGGTGGCCCCTCTCAAGGCATGAAAGCACCATCAACACCACCTTCTTCTCACATGGGGTTGATTTATTCCATCCATTCCATGGATGAAAATTAAAAAAACCCCTTAATATATAACAGAAATAAAAAGCAGGGAGTGTGAGGGCCCAGCACCCTGAAGGGAGACCCAAGAGCAAGGCTGAGAAAGGAGAAACCCTTCAGCCTAAACTTTGACCCCAGGGACAGGAAAACAAGGATTCCCATTGACCAACAGTTCCCCCTGGTCCCCAAAAATTCCCCACCAAGGGCAGAGGGGACACACGGGGGGGACATCTCCAAGTTCCAGGCGTGGTTCTCCCACTGCTTCAGCACCCCCCGGCCCCGGGCACATTGCTGAGTGTGTCCCGGGGTCACCCCCGGGGAAGTGGAGCTTCCTCAGAGCTGCCTCCGGTGCCATTAACGCAAATTCATTAGGAAATTTGCGTCTGTTGTTCGTGTGGAGGAGTAATTATGGGGCAGAATTGAGGAGGTGAGCAAAAGGAAAGAGGTAAAGATTAAATGCCGGAAGACACGTGGGAAGGATGTGCCGGGTGACCCCCAGGGGAGTCAGAATAGCCAAGGAATGCCTCATTTCCAGGGGGGGAGGCTTTGGAGAGTATAAAAGGCTCCCTGGCAGAGGGGTCTTCATTCACTCACCTCCACTTCTCTCCAGTCCTCACTGGTCATCAGGGTAAGTTGGAGTTTGCTGCTTGCCTTTACTTTTGGACTTGGTTTCTGTGGGTTTCTGCAGGATTTTTAGTGCTGCCTGGTTTGAGAGCAGGCACTACAGAAGATCTGGGGACCAGGGATTGTTTTGGGGACCAGAGACTGGTCTGGGACCAGAGATGAGTTTGGGACCAGAGATGAGTTTGGGACCAGAGATGGGTCTGGGACCAGAGATGGGTCTGGGACCAGAGATGGGTCTGGGACCAGAGATGGGTTTGGGCAGCTCCTGGGTGGCTTCTCTCTGATGGAACCAGTGCTGGACCATGTGCTAAAGGCACGTGTATCCAATGCAAAAATGTGGAGATCTCAGGGACAGGCTGCCCTGGGATTTTGGACACCAGGCACCTCCCTAGCCACTTCGGGATGGACTTTGGGATAAGAATGCTTTAAGCTGGGCAATTCAGGCAGCAAAAAAAACCCAAACTCTGTTTTCCTTCTAGCTTTGCCAACACTCCAACCAACAAGATGCCCAGCGGCTGCTGTGGAGGAGGAAGCTACTCCCTGACCTGCTACAGCAGCTCCAAGGGCTGCAAGAGGCCCGTGTGCTGCTCCCCCATGCAGTGCTGCAGCCCCTGCTGCATGCCCGTGCAGTCCTGCTGCATGCCCATGTCCATGCCCTGCTGCTACACCATCACCAGCAACAACAACGGCGGCTGCTGTGGCGGCAACAACGGCGGCTGCTGCGGCGGCAACTGAGCCCTGCCTGGCTCCTCCCCGCTGGATTTGGATATGGATGTGGATAACAACCTGAATGTTCCTCCTCCTTCACTTAGAGATGTAGATCTTACCTTCTCTTCCTGCCTTCCATCCCCAGCTGCTCGTGAAGGGCTTTGAAGCCGCTCCCCAGCGATCGGCGGGATCTTCCTTCGCCAGCCCTGGCCCTGCTCTTTGCTTTCCTCTTGGGGTGTGGGATGTTGAATTCTTTTCGTCACTGTTTGTGGGATGTTGAATTCTTTTCGTCACTGTTTGTGGGATGTTGAATTCTTTTCTTCACTGTTTTGCTTCAATCTGTCTGAAAAAAAAAAAAAAGGCAATAAACTGTAGTTTGTGACCCTGCAAACCTCCTGGAGTTGATGTGTTTGTTCGCTGCCTTTTCCTTGGTGTTTTTCCAGTGTTGGGATGTTCCTATTTCCAAGGTGTTAAATGGGGGGGGGGGGGTCCCTGCACAAAGAAAATCAGGGCACCCCTGATGCTTCAGTTTAAGCACCAGCTGCTTTTCTGGCACCTCTGTGAGCAATACTTCTCCACCCAGTATAAAATAAAGAAAGGAGAAGAAAATAGGAGAAGAGAAGGTGGTGTGGAGATTTCAGAGCAGCTTTCCAGTGTCTGAAGGGGCTACAGGAAAGTAGGAGAGGGACTGTTCATCAGGAACTGGAGTGACAGGACAAGGGGGATGAGTTCAGACTGACAGAGGGGAAATTTACATTGGATATTGGGAAGAAATTGTTCCCTGTGAGGGTGGGGAGGCCCTGGCACAGGTTGCCCACAGAAGCTGTGGCTGCCCCATCCCTGGGAGTGTCCAAGGCCAGGTTGGACGGGGCTTGGAGCAACCTGGGCTAGTGGGAAGTGTCCCTGCCCATGGCAGTGGGGGGAATGGGATGAGTTTTAAGGTCCCTTCGAACCCAAACCGTTCTGTGATCCTATGAAAATAATACAATGAGCTCACGAAGGACGTGAGCCCCTTCTGAAACAGTCTGACACAGGAAAGCTCCTTGGATTCCAAGCAGCCAGAGATCTGCCTCAGGACCTACAGACAGCCAAATAAACACTTTGACACTTAGGAGACAGAGGTCTTGCCTCTGCTAAAACATCTGAGTAACCAGATACCGAGTTGAAGTGGGAGGACAAATCCTGAGAAAGCTCCGCTGCCTTCGAGGAGCGACAGGATCAGCTGGAGTTGAACCAAAACCCTCAAAAACTGCACCACAGTCCTTTTTATGCATTTAATGCCCTTTTCTTGCTCTGTTTTCACACTGATACATCCCTTCTTTGCATTCTGATCCGTATCCCACTCCCCAAAGATGGTTTGAGCACCTCAGTTACACCAACAGCTGGACACGACTCCCCTGGGTGGGAAATGCCCCCCTAGATCAGCCCTTCTCATAGTTGCAGGTCTTGCCCGTGGAAAATTTCCCTCTGGAGGCACAAGTGAAGCATTTGCCTTCACTTCTGCCCCATTAATTCCTTGTAAGTGAATAAATAAATCAGTTCTCTTGGGCTGGGAAGTTGGTTCCTCCTCAGAGGGGACCTGCTGGGGAGGAAATGCCACACATGTTCTTCTGCTCTGTCTGGAGAAGTTGCAATTACATGTGTTGTTCTCCAGTTTTACACTCAAGGAATTATTCTCATGCCAGGGAAGCCTGGAAAGGAGTTGGCAGCATTTCCTGCAGGGCTGAAACAGCACTAAAATCTCAATCTGCTCCCCCCTTGCACTGTGCAGAAAGCAAAGCAAGGCCACTGTGACCATCCTGGGGGCTGGGGGCAGCTCACCCGAGAGGACCCCTCTGCAGAGCACCCCAGGGATCCCCAGGGATGAGAGGAAGCACAGGGAACTCGCCAGGCAGGCTCCACCATCCTCTCATTAGGCAGCTCCCAGGATAATGTACAAGCTCCTCCGATGGGAGCTGCAATTTCAGACCGTGGAAAAAATTCCTCCCAAACCCCCCATTCCTGCCAGGACTGAGCCCCAGAGCAAAGTGTTAAACAAGGATTCATCCACCCTGCCCAAGGCTCTGCCTTACCTTGACCTTCCTCCCTTCCTCTTTCCCTCCCAGAAAATGGTTTCACCTCCCACTCAGCCCCGTGAGCCCAGTCAGGACCAGTTCTCTGTGCTGGTCACCTCAACCTTCTCACCCTTTGGATCATTCTGGGCTCCTTCCATTTCCAACACCCACCTAAAGCCCCTCCCTCCCTAGTGAGGAGTTGAGGGTGCTCCTTTTGGGACCAGGGCTCAGCAAAGCGGATTTCAGGAGGATGGAAGGGGAGGTTGCAGGAGGGACTCGTTGACTTGCATCACACCCAGTCCCAGGGCCACCATTCCTTGTGTTGCTGCTTGCACAGGCAGAGCTGCCCCTTAAATTTTTAATTTAAAAGAGAAATATTAATAAAATATTAATAAAAATAAAATTAATACATAAAATCATAAATATTCAGAAGGGAATACTCAATACAGAGGTTTTGAAGGGGTTTCTAGGAAAGCAGTCCCAGCAAAGCATCACAAACCCCAACCTTGGTTTAGCAATGCCTGCACACAAACCTGACACCCCCCCCAGACTGGATTTGCAAAAGTTTGGACAAAACAAAAATCAGAGATGGTTTTGGCACCCCAAAGATGCTCTCGGGGTGCATGAGGGCAAGATGTGGGGGAGAGGCTGGACATGACCCAGCCCAGAACCCCCCTGTGGCAGCAGAGCAGGGGGGGATTCTGCCCCCTCAGCTGAGACCCTCCAGCAGAGCTGCTCCAGCCCTGGGGAACAGCCCAGGGAGCACCTGGAGCTGCTGGAGCCACTCCAGAGGAGCTGAGCAGAGGGATGGAGCAGCTCTGCTGGCAGGAAAGGCTGCAGAGTTGGGATTCTTCAGCCTGGAGAAGAGAAGCTTCGGGGTGACCTGATTGTGGCCTTGCAGGACCTGAAGGGATCCTGCAAGAAACATGAGGAGAAACTATTTAGAAGGGCCTGGAGTGACAGGATGAGTGGGAATGGATTCAGATTGACAGAGAGGAGGGTTAGATGGATATTAGGAAGAAATCCTTCCCTGTGAGGGTGGGGAGGCCCTGGCACAGGTTGCCCAGAGAAGCTGTGGCTGCCCCATCCCT